TGTAATATAGAGCAATAGAATATTGCAATGCATTTTAATATATGTTTCTGATGTTCGTTACATTCTTTCATCCGTTTGTCTCCTGATTCTTGCACATCCCTTTTTCTTGTTTCTTTTTCAATAATCTGATTCGAACGTGTAAAATTGTAAAATTTGCAGGCAAGGCTTGTGAGAAAGAAGATACTCCCATTTCATTCACCGAAAAAACCGAAGCCTACATATTATCGTTAATGCCAAACCTCCCATACGGAGAGGACTACTATACTCAGCCATCATTGACCGAAATAGCCTCAAAGGAAAAGGACGAACCCGGAAGCTGCACTCGTGTGGAAGGCTTTGTTTTCGGGAGGACTGGATTTGGAAGCATTAGATTCTTTGGACAAACGAATGTCAGGAATCTCGATCTTGGGTCGATTGTCCAATTCAATAAACGTGAAGTGATTGTGTATGGAGATAACAACAAGAAGCCACCAGTGGGGCAGGGCTTGAACAAGCCTGCTGAGGTCACTCTGCTTAAGATCAAATGCACGAGCAAGAAAACGGGCAAAGAGTATGTGGATGGGCCACAGGTAAAGAGTTATAGGGAGATGCTGGTGAAGATGGCTAGGGAACAAGGGGCCGAGTTTGTCTCGTATGATCCGGTTGAAGGGGAGTGGAAATTCAGGGTGCAGAGTTTTTAGGCATTTCAGTTTAGTTAGTTCAGTTTAGTTAGAATTGAGATCCAGTGATTGTGGAGAAGTAGATTTTTTTCAGTACATTGCCTAGTGTTTTCAAACGGTCTTGTTTAGTTTTCCACTGGTTGTTATTGGATGCTTGTCTATATTGTCTAGTTTGTTAGTTTGTGTTTTTACCTTATTTTCAGATGTTTGGTCTAGCATTTGTTGCCAGTTGAAGTTAATGGAAAATTGATGTGTGTTTTTTTTTTTTTCTTGGCAAAATTGCATGTCAAAAAATAACTTTTTAAGTTTTTGCATTTTAATCACTTTTCTAAGTTTTTGCATTTTAATCACTAACACCAGTACTAATACCCGTGTACTACACGAGTATTGAATTCAGAATTATTTACATCGACATATTAAAAGATAAACAAAATAATTTTATTTTAATATTTTGAAACTTTTATTTTTTCAAAGTTCTAAAATATTAGAACGACGCTAGAGTATTGCACATGAATATAATAATTTTTAATCAAATTATTTTTTCAAAGTTTAAGGAAACAATTTTAGTACCATTATATAAAAATAAGTTATTATATATGCTAATTACCTAAATATAATTAATTGGTAGCACAATTTGCAATATCAATATGCTAATGCTAAAGATAAAAAACTATTGCTAACAAATAAACAAATTGACATGTATGTTTTTAGGCAAACACAATGTTTTAAACAACGTACCGTTCGAATTGGTATAGACGGTAATATCGCATACGATTGAGCGCCGATGCAGTAATCCTCTAAATGCCATTTCGGCACATTACCATTTTATACCGGTTTCATACTAAAAAATACCGGCCGAAATATGATATACTAAATTTAAAAAATATATATTTATTTTATATCTTTATCAATTTATTCACAAAATTCTACACTTAGTTTTAACATGTTTACATTATTATTAGTTTTCAATCAATTTTAGTGTTTATAAATAAACCAACTATCGTAGGTGTAGATAATGCTAATTGTTTGTAACCAATGCCATAACATAATGGTCATATTATTCTTTACAGTGATTTGTGCAAATAAGTAAGTTATTTTTTATTTTAGTTATCTATGTTTTGCTACATTTATATGTGTCCTAACTTTAGCTTTAAATTCAATAATTACGTGTAGACTACCTACTTCAATTTACCTCTTTGTAGATATTTTATATTGTTTTTTTTTATTCTAATGCATGAGAAGAAATTAATAAATAAAATCTACTACAAAGGTAAACATAATTAAAGATGAAAAGATATGATAAAGGAGATAAATCCTTATTAAAATGAAATAGGGAAAGAAGGATTTGTGTGATATTTAAATTCAAGACATATTTGGTAATGAAAGAGAGATTGATGAGAAACAATAATGTATGATGGAAAAATTATTTATGACACTTTTCAAGCCAATTTTGTTTCCAACTTTTTGATCTGAACCTAACTACAAAGCATGATATTGTTACATATAGGATAAGATTCTAAAGTGTGCGAGTCTACCACTTAAGCTAAGCACCTTTTAAATTAATATGTAGGGGATTAGATATTAATAGCAACCCCTAAATTCACCATGGATAAATAAGTTAACCAAAGGGGCACACACTACCCACGAGAATTTTGGTGCCAATAAATAAAGGTTGGATAGTGGAATCCTTTTAGCTCATTTATTTTGCCATTTCTGTTTTTCCTTCGGCCCCTCACAGAAATAGCAAAAAACCAGAACCAAACCACAAATGAAACATATTTCTGTGTAGATGCATTTTCATAGAAAAGCAGCCATTACTGCAAGAAAGTACCTTGTTTTCAGCGTTTTTCCCTTTTCTTTTCTAGCAGAGCTGTTAGCATAAAAGCTAAGGCTCCGTATAAAAAATCTCAGCTTCCACACATGTTCACTTGCAGCTTTTCCCCCTAAAATCCTATCATCGTTTTTCAATTTTGGGTTTTAAATTTTTATTTTTTTTTTTTTGCTCGTTTTTTGAGTTCCAGTTGACTATGTTCAACTCAGAGACGATGAGTCCAAGAGACATGAGCCAGATTAGCGACGGCGGCGGCCGCGGCGGCTTCAGCCTTCCAAACCCCGCAAATCTCAACAATTTCAAGCACGCCTCATCGGCTCAGAAGGCAGATTTTGATGGGTCGAATTTCTTCAGGAACCAAAACCAGCTAAATCAACCGGGCGGTGGCTTAGCTCGGTTCAAGTCGGCTCCCAGCTCTTTTCTAGCCGCGCTAATAGATTCCAACAACACAGACAACAGCAGCAGTGGGGATGACGAATCTGAAGCTTTCTTCTCGGCGCTGATGAGTGGGCCCACCCCCACCGCCCGGGATCTGAATCGGACGGACGGTAATAGTGGCTGCGATGACAATACTCATAATAATCATCAAATGTTCCAACATGAGGAGGAGAAGGTCGGGACCCGACCCGGGAGAAACGGGTCGGGCTGTGGGCATATGGGTTATGAGAGCGCTGTGAGCAGCGGCGGTGGCTGTATCGTTGGATCTTATTCGGTGGGGATGGAGGAGAGTCAGGTTACTAATAATATGCGGTTGTTGAATAAGGGAAATATTAGCTCAAATCTCGTCAGGCAAAGCAGCTCCCCTGCTGGATTTTTTAATGGTAACTATTTATTTTTCTATTTGTTTAATTTTGCTTGGAGTGATGGGATTTATCATTCATGTTCATTGGTCTGCTTGTCCTATTTTTGTTCAATGAATTGTGTTTAGAACAGAACAAGAAATAAAAAAATGACAGTGATGGAGTATGGCTTGAAATAATTTCTGGTTTGATAGAAAAGTTGAACTTGCATAAATTTGGATTCGGAATATGAGGGGATGGGGAGGACCCATAAAGAGATATGTGGGTGCAAAAATTAAAAGAAAATAAAAGGAAGAAAATTATTGATGCTATTGAATTTAAAATATTCTTTCACATCTCCGAATCTTATCTCCCCATCTTTGATTTTTAAGCCGACGGGATATATTCCATTAGCATCTTTTTTTAGTGTTTTTGCAAGCAGAACAAAAGCTCAGCTAAGTAAATAGTTTCATGGATAAATTCTAGTGTCTTATTCTGTTTTCTTAAAGTAAATGAATTGCTGATGTTATTATTTATTGGATTAGATTGCATACATTGAATTTGCAGTACATAGTTCCATCCAACTTCAACCACACTCCTGGACAAAATTCTGCTTTGTAACAACATTATTGAGAATGGATAGATTAGTTAAAGCATTCTAATTGTTCTCAGGATTTGATGTAACGACAGAAGCAATTGTCCACAGTCAGGCACATGCTATTTCATCAACAAATGGCATGAGCACTCACTTGAACTTCTCCTCACCTAGTGTACAATGCATCGGCACACATAATCTTGAAAATGAGCAGTTGAGAAATGGTAATAATGCAAATCTACGAGAATTCGAGGCAGCTTTCCCACACGGCTCGTGGAATGATTCTTCTTTCGGTAACAGCCTGAAAAGAAATCGAGATGGTGAAATGAGGGTGTTTATGGATTTCAATGGCTTGGATAATCAGGTATGTATTTAGCTTCTATTTTTTTGGATTTGATTGATTGTTCGCTATTTTCTTATTGCTGATGAGGTTGGTTGTTTGTTATCAGAATACTGGGGAAAGTAGTAAAGGTCTGTCGAGTTTAGTTCACCATTTGAGCTTGCCAAGATCAGCAGAAAATGTGAAATTTTTGCAATTTCAACCGGAGACGGTGCCTTGTCAAGTTCGTGCCAAAAGAGGTTGCGCCACTCATCCGAGAAGTATAGCCGAAAGGGTAAATTTAGAGATTTATTAATAGGCCAATAATATTTATATATAAATATATATTGGTTCCACGAAATTCTCAATTTGCGAATAACGTCTTCATACTCTGTAGAAAACTTGGTAATTCGATGTTTTCTTGATGTTATTCAAATCTGGTGAATTATGTAAACTCAATACGTGAGGTGGTTTGTTTTTGTATTTCTCTATAGATATTGCACAAACAAAATTTACAGTGAATATATATCGGTTTTTAATTCACAGATGAGGCGGAGCAGGATTAGTGAAAAGATGAAGAAGCTGCAAGATCTCTTTCCAAATATGGACAAGGTGAACTCTTTGTCCCCTCTATTTCTTTCCCAATCTATACAAAGCATGTTGGTCTCTTATTATCCTTTTGGGTAACCCTTTTTATGTATGCTATTCATTCCCAGCAAACGAGCACAGCTGATATGTTGGACTTGGCCGTTGGGTACATTAAAGACCTCCAAAAACAAGTCCAGGTAAATAGAACCAGAAGAACAAAAAAAAAAGAGAGAAAAGAAAGAAACTAATGTGATCAATATTATGCATCTCAACATCAAAGAAAGAAAATAACGTGATTAATATTAAAATTCTGAACGTGAAAATTCATCTTGCAGACGCTCACTGACAAGAAGACGAAGTGCATTTGTTCAAGTAAACCTCAGCAGGTATAGTCTTTACAGGAAAGATTCATAGTTGTGAATCGTGGCTTGCAATTCATATGTGTTCACATTGGACAAGTAGTTGGAACAAGGCTGGTTGTTTGTCAATGTTGGTTGGATGTGTAGATTGCCCCCTTCTAATAAGGGTGTTAAGTCGTTTATGTAGATTTTTAGTGTACGGATTCAGGGTGTAATTTGTTTATGTAGACTTTTAGTGTACGGATTAGTTCGTATTGTTGTATACCTCTATGAATAATTTGTGAATAGAATGTGCTTAGTACTTTTGGCAAAATGTGCCCGACGGTGATTTTAGTAGCGGGAGTAATTACATGCNNNATTCTCTCTTTTTTTATCGAAAGGATAGTCAAACTCCAGTTGCACTATCGTGTGCCTAGGTACACCTTGCTAGGTGTGCCAGGACAGTATTACACGCGCTCCTCATTCTCAAAAAGCTCAAAAAGCTAGAAAATTTAGAAGGTGTAGTGCACTCTCCCAATTTTCTTTTTTAATGAAAAAATGAGACATATTACATAAATTAAAATATCATTAATTATTTATATTAAAAAAATAAAATAAAAATACCAAAATTCATAATTTTTCATTATCTATAAATAGAGACCACATTTGATAGGTTTTTGAACACAACTAATTTTCGTTTTTTGGTAACATGTTCACCTTATTGTGTATGTAAGATGTTCATTTTATTCTATAACAAGTTCATTTTATTATGTAACATGTTCATCTTATTCTATAACATGTTCATTTTATTATGTAACATGTTCATTTTATTCTATAACATGTTCATCTAATTTTCATCTGTGAAAATGTAACATTTTCATCTTATTAAAGAAGATTTTGGTTTGTGAAGGTGGAGGATATTCGATCGAAAGACTAATTTATGAAATTTCTTTTACATTCTACTAGTTTTTCACTTTCATTCCCTATAGTATGACTATTGCATAAATTTGAGTTCTTATATGTAGATTATGGTTTATTATTTCAGGGCGGGGGTGCTTGCATTAAACGAGTGAAAGTCGAGCAAGAAATTGACCAGAATTTTATATATGAAGTGGAAATTGGAGAAAATAATGTGAGAGCCCGTGATGTAGATATGGAATCTAAACATGTCCATCTTATTCTATAACATGTTTATTTTATTATGTAACATGTTCATCTTATTCTATAACATGTTCATTTTATTATGTAACATGTTCATCTTATCGTATAACATGTTCATTTTATTATGTAACATGTTCATCTTATTTTATAACATGTTCATCTAAATTTCATATGTGAAAAATGTAACATTTTCATCTTATTAGAGAGGATTTTGGTTTGTGAAGGTGGAGGATATTCGATCGAAAGACTAATTTATGAAATTTATTTTACATTCTACTAGTTTTTCACTTTCATTCCCTATAGTATGACTATTGCATAAATTTGAGTTCTTATCTGTAGATTATGGTTTATTATTTCAGGGCGGAGATGCTTGCATTAAACGAGTGAAAGTCGAGCAAGAAATTGACTAGAATTTTATATATGAAGTGGAAATTGAGAAAATAATGTGAGAGCCCGTGATGTAGATATGGAATCTAAACATGTTCATCTTATTCTATTACATGTTCATTTTATTATGTAACATGTTCATCTAAATTTCATCTCTGAAAAATATAACATTTTCATCTTATTCTATGACATGTTCATCTTACTCTATAACATGTTAATCTTACTATGTAACATATTTATCTAATTATATATTTGCGTCATAATCTTCCAATAAGATAAATTAATTGTAAAAAATGATAAATTAATTGTGTTCCAATGTTCATATGTTCATCTTACTATATAACATGTTCATATGTTCATCTTATTTTATAACACGTTCATATGTTCATCTTATTGTGTAAATATGTAACATGTTCATCTTATTCTATAACATGTTCATCTTATTATGTAACATGTTCATCTTATTGTATAAAATGTTCATCTAAATTCCATCTGTAAAATTATAACATTTTCATCTTGTTCTATAACATGTTCATTTTACTATATAACATGCGCATCTTAGTATGTAACATGTTCATCTTATTATATATTTGTGTCATCACCTTCCAAAAAGATAATTTAATTATAAAAAATGATAAATTAATTGTGTTCCAAAACTTATCAAATGTGGTCTCTATTTGTAGAGATTGAAAAATTATGAATTTTGGTATTTTTATTTTTATTTTTTAATATAAAATGTGAATAATAATTTAATTTATATAATATGATATGTAAAATTTATTATCCAATATATATTGGACACTTGTCTTTTTTAAACAAAAAAAGAAAAACTTGCATACCTTATTATCTCTCTCTCTCTCTGCGCGTGGGAAAGGATTTGGACAGGATTTTCATTTTAAGGCCACGCTCCTTTTTCTTACGTGCATTCACTCTCTGCCTTGGCACACCTAGCAAGATGTACCTAGGTGCACGTAAGTATTTGCGGTCAAACTCGTCATAAAAACAAGAAAGAAAAGATAGTAATTACATGTTAGCTTTAGGCAAAATTTAAGATCCCGAGGATAAAAATTTAAGGTGAATTTTTAGCTCTACGAAAAATTTAAATTCTTGGAACCAGTGAGGAGATGAATTTAATGTCAATTTTCTTTCCCAGTTCCATATTAGGAACGAAACTGAAATAATAATAATAATAATAATAATATTAATAATAATAATAATAATAATAATAATACACTATTTATTTACGACAGTAAAATTGTACATACACTTTAATTTTTGGACACTCCTGATATCCCTATCTATATTTATACTACTCTAAAATGTTGAGTGTTTTTTATGAAAAAAATGAACTATTTAAAAAACACTTATTTTCACAAATTTTCAATGGTAAATTAGTAATACATTAATATTATCATATTTTATATTTTTAATTAATAAATAATATTCTATGTAAAATACTTTTACTTTGACATATTTTTAATGGCACATTAGCAATAAACTAATATCTATCATATCTAATATATTTAATTAATAATTACTAATACAATACTCGTGTATTACACGGGTGTTGAATTAGAAAATTTTGTAAAAAATATTAATTTTTTTATTTTTTTAAAAACTAAAATAATTTAATTGTATATAAAACATTACTTTGGATTTTAATGAAATTGTCAAATTATATTTTTTTAATCATAAACCGTACATTAAATGAAAATGTCAACCCGTGTTGAATTTTTTTAGTTATATCATATAAAAATATCGATATTATTTACTATTACATAAGTACAAAAATATATATTTTAAATAAATAGAAATAATATTGTGATATGTATATGCATAAGTGTATAATATGTTTATTTCATATTAAGCAAAATAGATTAATTTTTTTATTAATTAGATGCCTAATACATCAAGTGTCGTATCAATCGTGCTTCACAGTTTTTTAACTTTATATGTAATTTTAGAAATTATATAAATAATTATTTATTTTTATTACATTGATAACATACTAATTAGATTTGAAATAAATATCATTTTTAAAGGAAGACATACCAATTTCTATTACTTTATAATATAATTTGCAGTTTTATTTGATATAATTTAGTTTAGTTTGATAAATAAATTTAAATTTTATTTATAAGGATATATAACTGTTTTGTATTATATATATATATATATATATAAATAAATAGTAAAATACAAACGGACTTCATAATATCAATTCAAATGCAACACACTAATTAAGATTTTTTTTCTTGACAATATTAACCCTATTTAATGGATGTTATGGGAGACGATGAAGATGGGATATGAAGAAACACTATGTATTAAATGGAGGGTTGAAAATGGAAAAATATGAACAAAATATCTAAAACGACATTTATTTTATCAATGATCAATTAAGCAAAAGTGACAAATAACAAAAATAGGAGGGATATATTATTATATATTTTAGTATGACACGTGTTACTTGTGCGACTTATATGTGTTACAAGTACAATACCCGTGTATTACATGGGTGTTGAACTAGAAAGCTTTTGTAAATTTTTTTTATTTTTTTTAAACTAAAATAATTTAATTTTATATAAAACATTACTTTGAGTTTTAATTAAATTGTCAAATTATATTTTTTTAATCATAATAATTAAACACCCGCACATTAAATGAAAATGTCAACCCTTGTTGAATTTTTTTTACTTATATCATATAAAAATATCCATATTATTTACTATGACATAAGTACAAAAATATATATCTTAAATAAATAAAAATAATATGGTGATATGTATAAGTGTAGAATATGTTTATTTAATATTAAATAAAATAGATTAATTTTTTTACTTAATTAGATGCATAATACATCAAGTGTCGTATCAGTCGTGCTTCACAATTTTTAAACTTTATATGTACAGTTAGAATTTATATAAATAATTATTTATTTTTATTACATTGACAACATACCAATTAGATTTGAAATAAATATAATTTTTAGAAAAATACATACCAATTTCTATTACTTTATAATATAATTTATAGTTTTATTTGATATAATTTAATTTAGTTTGATATATAAATTTAAATCTTATTTATAAGGATATATATTACTATTTTGTATTTTATATATATAAATAGTAAAATACAAACGAACTTCATAATATCAATTAAAATGCAACACACTAATTAAGATTTTTTTTTTACAATATTAACCCCATTTAATGGATGTTATGGGAAACGATGGAGATGTGATATGAAGAGACACTGTGTATTAGATGAAGGGTTAAAAATGGAAAAATATGAATAAAATATCTAAAACGCCATTTATTTTATCAATGATCAATTAAGCGAAAGTGACAAATAATAAAAATAGGAAGGAGTATAGATTATTATTTATTTTAGTATGACACATGTTACTTGTGCGACTTATATGTGTTATATTATAATAAATTTTCTACCATATAACACATAACTACATTAAACATAAATATATTAATTGATAATAATTTTATTTTCTAATTAATTTTAATAAATATTTTTTTCATTATTATAAAGATAAATATAATTTATTTATTTTATATATATAATATGGATATCAAATCGAAGTTCTCAAAAGATGATTAATTTGATATATTATATATGTAAAAGCGATAAGAAATACAAAAGTTATCAACTTTTAAAATATATATTCAATTCAATGGTTAAAATAGGAAACGATATTAAAATAAAATTAATATAGATATTATTTTATATCCAAGCCTAACTCCAAAGCATGATTTTTTGCCAAATAGGATTCCGAAGCATGAGAGTTTGCCACGTAGGCTCAGCG